AATCAACAGACGACCGACAGCCACCGTTACAACCTTCGACGACGCTTCGTGGAATACCAGCCCGGTGAACGTGTTTGGGTGTGGACGCCGATACGCCGACGTGGACTAAGTGAAAAGCTTCTGCGACGGTACTTCGGACCGTACAGGGTGGTTCGACGGCTCGGCCAGCTTGATTACGAGGTTGTCCCCGACGGCATCACGAACTCTCAACGACGCCGATCGCGACCTGAAGTCGTCCATGTCGCGCGCCTCAAGCCGTTTCATGCACGTTAACAAACTGAACTAGTGTTTTTTTTTTGTATTATTGTTGTATCGTAATTTATTCATTGTACTCTCTTGCATTATTATTGTACTTTCATCTTTAGTTAAAGCATCGGGACGATGCCTTTTTTTTCAGAGGGGGGCAATGCCACGTTCCATTTCCCAAGTTTTTGTTATCGTCCGAAAACACCGCACGATTCTCAGCACAAACCGCGCCTGCAGTTTTCTAGAAGGTTCCGGACTGTAGTAGATCATTTCGATAAGATCACGCCCACTGTGCGAACGGTACAGATTGTTCTGAAACCTACGCCACCGCCAGCGATAACGCTAGAACATTCGATGGCAAGAGTATAAATGCCGACGCGCTTCGCCGCTTGTCAGTTGTTGATCGAAGGCCGACGCTGCGTTCGCCGCTATCAGTCCGAGACTGCTATCTGTGCAAGACTGCTGCTGTAATTAGACTTTCCCTTTACCGGGCACAGGTTCGCCCAAATAAACAGTTAAATCCCAACACGAAGTTTTCTGTCTTTGGCCACGTCACGACCCCGTGACAATATGAAATAATGCACAATGAAATGTTGTTCCCCAAAAAAAAAAAAATAAATTTCTAGAGCAACAACTGTATCTTGGACTAAATAAAAGTGTGGAAAGTGTGTCATGTTTAGTTGCCAGCTGGGAAACAGTGCAATAAAAACACTAATATGCAAGACAATTAAAAACAAAAAATTTCAGAATGCAGTCAAACACGGATATATCGAACCTAATGGGGATCACGAATTAGTTCGATATATGAAAAATTCGATATAAAAAATAAAGGCCCTGTGAGCTTACCTATAGCGGATCACCACCTACAAAAGGCGTATTCAAGAATGACAACTAATTCCACTCACACGCCGAAACAGAATGATTTATTTGTGTGAAAAAAATCTCTGATCTCTGGCCTGGTTTCTTCGTTTTGGAATGTAAGACGCTAATCTCAATCTTATCAAGGCTGTCTTGGTGCGGCAGCCCGATTCCCTCTATGTGGACGATACAACGGCGAATGATGCTCAACGTTGCCATCACTTCAGCGGTGGAGTACGCACTTGTAGCCAGCATATTGTCCGGACGATCCTCCTCGTCCCTTAAGCTGTCGGCGTGGACATTGCAGTCCACTTCCACGAAGGCGTCCGCTGACACTTTGTGGAGAACTAGTGCCGGGAAGCGGGACGACAACTTGCGAAATGCACGTCTCTGCACTCATCGTCGTCGCCTTCATTGGTTTCCGCAAGTTCTGCTGTCTCGAAGCCTGCCTTGAGGAAGCAGTTGATTACTGTGTCCGTCTTTACGTCTCACCAGGCATTGAGGGTCTCCGTGTAAAAAAACTTCGCGGAGATTTTCGGTCACTTCTTCTTCATCCACGGCTGGATATCCTGGCTGCTGACAGCTTTGCTTTCACCAGAAATGGCTTTGCCAATGTTGTTTTAGCGCTGCTTAAAATGATGAAGCCAACCGCTATTGTCGGCGAAGTTGTTTCACTGAGTGCAGCGACAAACCATTTCGTCTTCGCCATCAGCATCGGGCCATCCACCGGAATATTTTTCGCGCGCATGTCCAAAATCCAGGCATAGAATGTCTTTTCTACATTTCCGTGGGCAGAAGTGCGCACATGACAGAATCCCGACGTTCGCTGCTCCGCCGCCTTTACCTTGATATCTGCCTTGTTTTTCAACAAGGTACTCAGAGTGCTCCGTGGTATCCCGAAGTCATCCGGCACAGTCAAACATTTCTCGCCCACCTATACACGCTGAATAGCCTTCAACTTTGTCGCAAAGTCAAGGGTCTTGCGCTTCTTGACGCTGGCCATAGCTACGCGAGGAGCCTTCAGTGGCATTGCACACCACGCACGCAAAAGATAAATGCTGCACATGCGGTGGTATGTACGCCACGTGACGGCGAAAGCAACAAAGCGCTCGGGAGACGATGGCTGCTCGCGAAGGCAATAGCAAAAGGAGTGAGCTGTGGTTAACTGATCAAACCTTGGAAAGCAGCAACGAAAAATAAAAGAAAAGCCGAAAGGAGGAGGATGTCAGCTCCTTCATTTCTGCTCTCCGAGCCGAAGGGTACGTGGAGAAAGCTAGAGAGAGATAAAGAGAAATGAGAATGAAAAAAAAAAAAAGTTTCGCCAGTTAGAGATCGCGCAGTTTGAATCCTCTCGCCCTTACCTTTTTTCGAGCTTTGCAGGTTTTAGCGAAGGTGTGATGCTGCGCGGAAGTGACTGGGCGCTGCGAGTGTTAAAGGCCAAAGCGCGTCTTCCAACTCACGCACAGAGTTTGCGGAGCTTGCGGGGGGGGGGGGGGGGGGTGCCGAAACGTGTCTTTCAGCTTGCACGGCGTTCAATATATTCAAAGGCGGGTAAAAATATCGTTTGATATAAACGTGCGAATTTCTATACTTTTACAAAGGAATTTCAATGGGATAACTTGCGAGTTTGATATACCCCAAAATTCTATATATGTAGGTTCGATATGACCTTGTTGGACTGCATAGATTTTGAAGATAAATAACCCAGGAATAGTATAAAAAATAATAAATGTTCTACACCATGTTTCCATTAACCAGTGTTGTGGAGTTGCTACTCTGAAATTGCAATGACTCCCAAATTATTTCACGTCTTGGTGACCCCGGAATGGAGTTATGTCTTTTTCCAAAAATCGAACGTGTTTTTGTCCATGCACTTTTTTTTTTAATCTTCATACAGTAAAAAAGAGCCCCGATTTAATGAAAAGTAGTGTTTTTAAAATGGCTTGGCTGGTTGCAACCTTATACTGCATAGTACATTCACCGTGCTTACTACAATTCTCTCATATGAACTCTGTTGCTCCGAAGCACCTCTTATGAGCAGCTCATGCTTGTGAAGTGCAAGACACAGGTAGATGGCAGTTTTTAATCTTTTTTCTTTTTTATTTGGAACGAACCCAACCAGCCACCAGCATTTATAACCGAATACTCGAGTAAACTCCCAAACATATAAAATATCCTTCGCAAGTATTATCGAATACTGTCAAGCAACGAGCGCCTTAGAAAAGTGTTTCCCAAAGTACCAAAGATCATGTATTGCCGCAATAAGAAAATGAACGCACTAACATGTCCATGTTACTGCGTGCAAAACAAAACTCTCATTCTACTGCCCAAATAAGACCTTGCTCCCATCCAAGATGCAAGACGTGCAAACACCTTCAAGATGATTGAATGGTCTTCTCGAGCTAATCGTTAGCATTCAAAATGCAATCAAAATAAAGGCCGAGATAACGACAGTATTTTCTCATTCATATGTTATTTACCTATTGTATAAGGATGTTTGTTGGTCTTTTTTTTCTTTCTTTAGTGTTTTATACTACGTCAATAAGCATTGTATAAAGTTCTTGCCATGCTCCAGTTATTGTCATCCCTACTTATGTAGCCCCCCCCCCCTTGCACAATACATCGACGGAGGAGCCTAGGAGGTGATTTGAATAAATAAACATGATAGTTAAAAGCTCCCGGAATGATTATGTCTATCGTATGTGTGGCTTTGTGTTTGTATAATTATGTAAAAGTGCAGGAGTATATATGTATTTTTATTATTATGTATTATGTATGTAATATTGCCGCACTGCCAAATACGTAGGGTTGTAGGCTAGTCAAGCTGTCCGGAGACGGCTTTTTTTCTACAATCTCCCTATCTGTCTGTCTGTCCCTATCTCCCACAAAGATGACAAATAAACTTATTATATACTTATTATAATATATAAAATCTAGTTCTAGCTGCACTGGTGCGAACGTTATCCAAATGATCAGATGTTTAAACTGTCACAAATGCTACATTGGCAAAACTATACCGCTTGTTAATGTTAGATTAAACGGTCATCATTTGGACACAGCAAAGAAATTACCGAAAGCAGTGGCACAGCATTTCAATGTACCAGGACACAACTTTTGTGATCTCAAACTCTACATATTTCAATGAAATTTTCTATCCGCAAGAGAGACAGAAACTATACATAGTCGTACCTTACTCACATGTTCAATACACTCCAGCCAGTAGATATAAATGTTTCTAAAGGGGCTCCGCAATATCATTCGGTATGGTACACACACAAAGAAAACCACTGAGAATTAAGCCCTCCATTTAGGAATTCCAGACCTACCATTGTCAACTAATACTGGCAACCAGAATTTAGTGACACGTGTAAATCCTCACTTCCCCATCACTTTCTTATTTTCTTTTTATTCGTAGAACATTTGTTCCTTCCTCACTCTCAAACCCACGTATCCATTGTGGCCTCTTTTTCTTTGTTAGGATGGAGCAGAGGGTACGAAGCGTAGATATGCTAGTGCTAAAAAAATAAGCTAAGGAAGACAAGTTTGCTTGTCGAAACGTCGGCACGATATAGCCTTTGCTTACAGATAGTTTATAGGAAAATAAATGACATTTTAAATCAGCACACTATTACACATAAACTCCTCGAGTGGTATCCCAATCGATAAAAGCACATTCTTAAATGTTCTCACGCTCAGTGTCCCTCCCACCCGTAAAATCACCTTTTACCTGCCCACTAGACAGGCATGGATGTATTGCTGACAAAATCATCTTCATGATTGACACTATGAAAGATCTAGAATATGGCTGCTTAGGCATATTTCACTTGCGTGCCTTGCAACAATCCAAGCACAGTGTGGTTGCGTGGTCTGAATGTGCTCTCCCGGTTGGTCTGCAGACGAGGTGACTCGTGACTACGCCGAGGGTCCCCCGTGTGACCCCCTGACTCGTGCAGCCCTGCTGCTCCCTTGGGAGCCATGTGACATGACACACGTGGACTGCTGCCCTCCAGCACCTAGGCTGGACTTTCTAAGTGTAAGTACACAGCTCTTGCAAATTGGCCCAGTGGGAAAAAAGGCTCTGGTAGTTTTGTGTGGACACCAAAGTGGTAATGTGGGCACGTTGGCTGAAGTGCGGAGCATTTTAGGGGTTGGTGCTGTCGTGGCCTGTCGTTGTCGTTTAGCGTAATGCAGGCAAAACTGTATGTAGCATAGCCATCCGTTGCACATTGAGCGTGCACTCACGCCAAGGAGTGCACGCTCATTTTTTCGTTTGTTCTTTGAGCGTCTTGATGTGTATTTAGCACCGTTGCTCAAAAATGGTGATGCCACACGTGATTATTTTTTGCCATAATTGCTCGAGATGGCAAGAGAAGTGCTTTAAACAACGCCTTTAAAAATACCCTAAGCTTGCTTTAGACGTAAGGAAATTTTCTTTTTAATTCGGTATTTTATCTAAAACCCGTGGCTCGCGCTGCAGAACCGTTCACTGGCCACGATATGTAGGCACTAGATCGGGCGTTCGTAATTCAGTCAAGGACATCTTCTCTTGGCTTTCGCTTGACTTAACGCTTTTTTAACTGGAGTAGATGCGATGGAAGCAACAGTATTTTCAACCAGTAGGGGGGCACAACCCAACATTAGTGCCCTACCACTCGTTGAAGGCAATGTGTTTTCTTTATTCAATAAATATGAATAATAAAGACGAAATAATCATTAAGCTTTCCCAAACCAAACACAATTATGCAACATTCACACGATACCCCCACCACTCTGTGACACATTTACAAGAGTGCTCCCGCGTGGGAATATGTGGTTTTTTTTTTTTTTTTTGTCCAGAACACACGCGTTTGACCAGTTTATTTGGTGGTCTGTAGATTCCGCGTGTTCAGCGAGGACAGCCGAGGCCACGCGTTTTGTGGTGCCATATTTGTTTTGTTTAACTCTTTTCTTGAAATCACCTGTTTCACTGATGTACTGGTTGTCACAATTGTGGCAGCCTATGGCATAAACAAGACCAAGGAAATCTCTGCTCAGTAACTTTGTCCTTCTCAGTGGCTAAAGCATGCCTTAGCTTCTATGTTGGTACATGCACTATTTTGATGTGTGTTGCTTCTACATGTCATATGGCATATCTGACTTTCGAACCACAACATCACTCACGTCTGTATATTTATGCATGTTTGTCTAGGCCACACTTTCGGCTCAGCTGGAAGGCCGTCTGGTTTGTCTAGGCTAGAACTGCCATAAGCAGAAGCTTGCTGGGCTACTCAAGCCATTTATTATTATTAATAGTATTATTATTGTTGTTATTGCTGATTCAACAGCAAACGTCCTTAGCTACACACTTATTGCTGGTGGCTCGTGTTTCAAGGGTAGCACTTATTTAATTATTTATTTATTAAAGGTACTTTCAAGGCCCGAAGGCACTACAAAAAGGAGTGGGGTAAGTGCAGTTTAAAAAAATAAAAAAGAAAGGAAACTAAACAAGGAAAAAATTTACAGGGCACCATGTAAGGCGAGCTTGAAGTCCTTTAGGTCCGTTATACAGGCGACGAAGGCGGGAATGTGGTTCCAGGCGGTGCTTTTTCCTTGGCACAAAAGAATCGTCATACAGTCTCCTGCGACAGGAGGCTAAGCCAACCTTAAAGCTATGGTCGGTCCTTGGTGATATGAATCGAGGTGGATGAAAGAGGGCTTCCTTCAAATGGCTGTTATAATGATAGATTTTGTGAAAAAGGTGAAGGCGAGACAATTTGCGGCCCAATGAAAGATCAGGCAGGCTTAGGGTGCTCTTCATGGATGTGACACTGGAATGACGTAAATAATTCGATAAAATGTAACTTGCTGTGCAATTCTGAGTAGCTTCAAGAGATTGAATGATAATGGCATTGGTTGGGTACCATATGGCGCATGCATTTTCTAATTTGGATCTGACCAATATTTTATACAATGTTAACTTGAGTGACGATGGAGCAGAAGAAAAGTTACGGCGCAGATAACCTAGTATGCGGATAGCGTTGTTATTGACATATTTCGAGTGTTTATTCTAGAAAAGTTTAGAAGATATGTGAACACAAAGATATTTATAAGTGTCCACAGATGATAATGGAATGGAATTTCTCATTTCAGTTTTGTGAAATTGTGTAAATAAATCTGCAATTACTTTGTAGTCCCTAGAAGAGAACGTAAATCAAGATAATTTGCTGAAATCCATGATTCATCTGTGAAATCAAGGTAGCTGTTGCACCTTGACAGATTCCTTCTTGTCATCACATATTCAAATGACGGCACTTCAAACGCTGTCCCCAGCTTTCATTTTAGGAGTCCGAGGAATTCCGTTGCACTTTAAGCATCAGAGCACAAAGACACAAAACACAAACATGTGAGTGTTTGTCTGAAAAAGAAAGAAACAAAATTTTGCAGTGCAGCTCTGTTCTTACAACGTTGCTGTTACCCGTTGTCAAAGCAAGGCACACAGAATACGCGAGTAGTAGTTATTCTTTTTTTTTTTTTTTTGCTGAAAAGTATATTTTAGAGGTGAGCAAAGTAGATGGGAACGTAAATCAATAGTAAATGCAGCAGTTAAGTTTGAATCAGATCTAATCCAATCCACATCATAAATAGTTGAGTCAATAAATACAGCAGTTCAGGTCGATCTAATTCAATTCAATCCAATCCACTTCCTAAGCGGCGTAAGCTACAGCCATTAGCGTAAACTAGATTAAACTCCAGTGGCAGAACCAGCAAGGCTCCCATGTCGTCATTTTGCACGGATGCCGCGAGATGGTACCACTTCTACGTTTCCTAGCAGCTTTGACTGCGATGTCGGGCTATCACAGGCTGGTTCTCACTTTCATCTGCAATTACTTTTAAATGGCGTGTTTGCTTTATGGTTCTTCCAAACATCAAACAGTTGGCTTGCTCCCTACCTGGCTCAGAAGTTTTATTTTGGCCTGATATACATATTTTTTCACATTTACCGTACCCGCTCAGAACATTCTGAGTGCGTCTGGTAAATATGGTGATTTATTTTATATGGGGCGCCTGTTTTTTTTTTTGTTTTTTTTTTACCGCTCGAGGATTTGTTTTCAGTGCACAGTTTTCCAAGCAGATGTGGCGGTCATGGAATTTGCTTTTAATTATGGGAAAACCTGGAAAAGTCAGGGAATTTAGAAATATGAGATTGGTAGACTAGACACCCTTAAAATACAAGGGAGCAGAATACCCATGACAGAACATCGAAGAATACACAGGACATAAAAGAACAAGCACTTAGTACAGGAACACTTAGTACAAGAACAAGAGAAAAACATTGTACAAGAACAAGAACTTCCAGTCAGTCTAGACATCAAAGAACACATGGCACACTAAAATAAGAAGGAAATGAGAAGTAAAGCACACTAAGAAATGTACACAAAACACAGTGCAGAATGAAAAAAAAAAATGGTAAATCATGCACACCAATACACAGCAAGGCAACTGCCACATCACATAATCCCCTCCCCAGAAAGAGGATGTCCACGCAGTCACTGGCATGTTCTAGAGTATGACGTCGGTGCCACTTTTAAGACAGGTGTCTCAGGAGCAGCCGCTGACAGCAGTCAGGTGAAACAAAAGAGTCGGCCCAACAACCTTCGGTCTTGTGCACCTTCGGCACAGTAGGGGCCGGAACACGCAAGTAGTGCTGAGGCGGCGATGAGGCATAGATCGGCGCCATCAATGCAGGAATAGTGTGGAGAAGAGGAACGGGCACAATCAGCACTACCTCAACTGGCAGAAGCGCCTCTACTGCATGCAAAACAGGCACTGCCTCTGGAAGCCCGGCTGGCACGCTCAGTGGCTGCATCTCCGACGGGCTTAAAACAGGAACAGTCTCCGGAACATCATCACCGGTCGTAGGAAGCACAGCCGGAGTGTGAGCAAGAACAGGCAGATTGGGAGTAACTAGTTCAACTGAAGTATGGTTAGAAGCAGCAGACACAATCGGAACATCCATTCTAACAACGGAAGCACTCCCAGTTTAAGAAGGCAGAGCCAGGGTGTGCTCAACTGCAGGCAGCACTGTGGGAGTAGGCGCATCAGGAGCCTGGGACAGTTCTGTAGAAACTTGCTCGTGGAGCAGAAGAGCAAGGTGTCGAAGCTCAGCACGAACTGGACACACATCAGGTAGACACACCACTTAATGCACAACGTCACGCACACAACCTAGTTCACAGGTGAGCAGTGGACGGAATTCACTGGGCGACAAAGCAGAAGACGAACGTTCAGACGTTGTGTGGCAATCATCCAAATCCGCTACACGAAGTCGGCGAAGAGACTGTGTCTTGAAGTGGAGCAGAATTGCAGATGGCCTGATAACATTCGAGCTTACTGCACGCGAGGCAAGTAGGCAAGTTCAGTTCTGAGTCGTACACTGAGAAAAATTCGCTAAGTGGTCAACCGATCCACAACGGAAGCAAAAGGCCGGCGGCGACTGCGCAGAAAAACGTTCGAAAGAGCTCGGAGCTCGCTGCTGGCCTTGAAAAGGCGAAGTCGAAGGCACGGGCGTACCCTTTTCACGGCCTCCTCGCTCTCGCGAGGCGGAAGGGCGGTCATTTTAAGCGCGACGTTTTTGAAGGAGCCGGCAACGGACAGTTTGTGAAGCCACGCCAATAAATAGCTCCTGCCTGGTCATGTCATTTTCAAGCGCGCCGAACCTGCAAGACGCAGCGAGCGACCGGAGACTAGCTATGAAGTCTACAATGGGCTTGCTGTGAAGCTGACGGCGCTCTTGGAAGTGGAGGCATGCGACATAATCGCAGGATCGCATTGTTCAACGACCTTTGAAATGGCCGTTGAACAATGCGACTGCGGCTTGGAATACGTCAGGCAACGCAGGTGTCTTTGGTGCCTTGGCGGAACTCAACGTGTCATAGTGTTTCTGGCCGGCGTGGCCCAACGCGTAAGCAGCAGGGCCATCTGCCGCTTTAGCTTGCGGACGTCTTTCCCGACCGCATCCACGTACGCATCGAAAATAAGCTTCCAATCAGACCA